TTCTTGTCATAGGTGACTCCTTTCACACTACCGCCGCCGGCATCTCCAAGAGACTGCCAAGCCTTGGCATGTCTGCTGTTGATCTCCAACCCGTGTTCAAGGCACTCCTCGAATTGAAGGGGCATCCATGGGTCAAATCTTCGAGCTTAGCTGCCGTGGCTACCCCACGTGCGAAACAAACAATTGCCTTTATCTCCTAGAAACAAACTAAAAAACTGTGCTGCCATGAAGAGAGACATCCCTAATGATCCGTAAGTGCATGACTTTAGCATACTTTAGCAATTTAAGGCAGTGTTTACGAGAGGTGTCACGGACATAAAACTTGGCAACATCATGAACAAATGTAGACTCTAATATGAAGAGGTGTTTCAATCCAACTGGGGGGTGATTAATCAAGAGTCGATATTAACATGTAACTATAACACGTGCAATGCAAAGTAGGAAACACATGAACGAAACATAACAACACAATGTCCTTCTTGGTGTACGTCTTGCCACCCACCTGACCGCCGCCTCCAAATCCAAGTATTAGCCAATCCACCTGTAAAGACACACGGCAGTTGCCCTTGAGAGTTGAAACCCGTCCACTAACAGCAGCATGACAAGCGAACTCTCAATATAGTATATCCAAAGCTATATATGTAATGTGCTTTCTGCATGGTTGCGACTTATGTCATTGACCTTCGATCTCAGCCTCACTTCCTGTTGATCAGTGCCTGGAGTTCTGTGTGTTGATCAGTCCCGCAGTGCTGCTTTTCTCGTTCTGACTATTCCTGACTCATCTATTGAAGCTGCTACACCGTCGCTGATCACCTGAACTGTTACCATGTGACGTTATGCGGTGCTGGGCAGGCCATCTATGAGTCTTAGGATGCCACCGGTGTTTGGTCAAGTCTGACAAAGATTTAGCTAAATTCATGAAGTGACACATGCAGCAAGCCTGGCAACGCAGCCAATTACCCTCAAGAACAAGACTCCCAAGTTCGAGTGAAGATTTCACGACAGTCACAGGCTGTCACGGCAGTTTTGGCCAAATGAGACTCCTGCCTCTGCGTTCGCTTTCGCTTCAGCTGCACTTGAATCCTCAGGTCGGTTTTGTGAAACCGGGTCAGTGTCTATTCGCTATCGAAACAACACAAAAGAGAACTGCCGGGATCTTTTGCTGAGCTGCATTGGTCAATGCCATACAGTCGAAATGTATTTCTTCAAGGTTCCAAGTTGACAACCTTTTCTAGTTAGAATCCTGCAACACAACATTATATATAATATGTGTACATATATGACTTCCAGGCCCTCGTTGCAGGTGAACACACCCGCAGCTAACACAGCTAACGACGGGTATGGGTGTGGTGGGTTGGTGATAAAGCTGTTTAGCCACTGACGCCCATGTGAGACACTTAGTATAGAAATACTTCGAACAGCTATAGCTTGCGAGACAATCACCGCAAGACGTCCCGCCTCAGACTTCTCTTTTGCCACCAAACTTGGCGCAAACGCACTAGCTTCCAATGCCTCATTGCGCAAGATGGTGACTACGCCCGCGTGCGACTAGGTTCTTTTTAAGTCTTCTGATGTCTTCTGTGATTTGTTGAGTGCTGCAGCGGCAATCACCTTGCTTCCACAAAGTCTTGGACTCGAAATAACTGTTGCGAGGTTGTTGACTGCGGTGACAGGATTACCGACAAAACCAAACAACTGTTCACAACTGTTCACAAGCCGTGAAAAGTTTCAAGTCACACAACTCAGGTTGTTTTCACCATGCTGCCTGTGCTTTAGCCTTCAGCAAAGCTGGAGCAATGGGTCCCACCAGGCTTGGCTCGAGGGCCTGAAGACAGTTGCCCCCTACAAGGAACAACAGGAAATCTACATAATTCAATACAGTTGAAGAAAGTGCATTCGTGTTGAACCTGTGAAAATCATAGGGCAAACTCTGAATACAGCGGATCTTGTTCTATGCACATGCACAAGCATGCTCGATCGAAAGCACGCCAGGTGGGCAAGCAAGTGGAAAGACCAGGACCCTGGGAACACATGGACATCCTATTCGCACTAAGCCTGAGCGTTGCATGAGTCTCCAGCAAGAAGGGAAGTCCAAACAAATTTATGCGAGAGATGATACTGATGAGGCTGCAGGGTTCTACTGGGAATTTTGCCAGGTCCGGCTTTTCCATTTTCGGAAGGCTAGGGCCGGGGAAAATTACAGTACATATTTGCAGTGCTAGCTCTTGATTTAAAGTAAGTTAAAGTAAGGGCAGCTCAAGAAGTCCAAAATTAGACAAATGGAGCATAATAGTGGCATCAAGTTATCACGTACAAGGCATCACAAGGCTATGTCTTACCATAGTTGGCGCGTGCCAAATGCAAGGGATTGGCCAATGATGGCTTTATGGACCAAAGGCTGCATGAGGCTACATGTTCTATCATGAAGACAAGGCCCACCCAACGAGTGAAAGTGTGGAACCATAGTGAAGGAGTTTGAGAAAGTGAGACGAGGAGAGTGGAACGCAAAGGGACCGCTGTTGCACTCTACCAGTTGAGAAGCATTCAAGTGCAAACATATGACAAAAAGAGTGCTAAGCTAGAAAATGCAGGTCATCAACATGGGGATGGCTAAAGCATGCTGGAGTTACCAAAACAAGTAACAACAGTAGGATCACAGTGTGCAGTGGAGGAAGGAGAATGACATATGTACGCTGTACACTGTACACATGATGGACTTACAATCTGCAGCAGCGACTTGCTTCTTTAACTAGCTATTTGCAAGTTGCAGTGAAAATGCAAGTACATGCTTCGTAAACTATACGATGCTCACAAAATGGAATCCACTACCGGATCGGATGAGGCTTTTAGGGTGGGGTTGAACATGGTTGAACTCAGCTTTCGGGGGTGCAAAGGCATACGCTCACTTTCACTTCAAATGAATTTGTTGCACAAACCCGCAAACCTTTGCGGTATCTCTCTAGGAGCCCCAAGACTCATCTACAGTAAAACATATTCTGTTCAATACCAAACGGACCAATGTAACGACACCATTCACCTTTCTACACGCATTCGGGTGACGAGGAGAAACGTATTATAAATTACTAATAATAAACATGATATTGCTATACCGCCAACACATCCGATTTGCCTTTCAAACGAGCACTTTCAAACGGATCCGTTCGGGAGACATGTCATATTACGCATATTATATCTTCCAGCCTCGGAAAAGTCCATGAGGGGGTCCAGCTCTTCGATTTGCTCGCACTGCACTTCAGTCAGTCCATGGCCCAAATCAATGACGGACTTCACTCGGAACTCCATGTTGGGTGGCAGCAAAATCTCATGTTCGCCTGGAAAGAGTGAAAATGATTGGACACTCACGGCATGGAAGTGGGGCCGCAATTGTAAAAGCCACTTCGTCCGATCACCGTCTTGGCCAAGGAATGCCTGCAATGACTCCACGTGTGTTGTAGTGCTGCTGAAGCCTGCCCAAAGGAACTGTTTTCCTGTCTTCGCTTGCTTTCCTTACAGGTCTGCGCTGGTCCAAACAGACTTGAAGATGACAACCCCTCCTGTTGCCCCAATTTCCCCAAACCCTCATTCCTAAACGGCCCGTAGTCAAGTATATAAGACAAACATGTTCGCTAAACTCTTCTAATCAAAGCCCACTGTGGAGTTAGTTTCTCATGCTAACTTCTGAAAACATCATTTGCCTGGCCCAAAACTTCTCTTGGGACTCCTTCTCAAAAGTACAGATCGATGTCCTTTTTAGGCCCGTACACCATTACATCACAACTCACACCCTTCCGCACAAAAACAAAAACACTGCAACCCATTTAAAACATGTTAAAACCTTGATTCGCATTCAAGTTTCCTAGTTTGCTGCTGTGGACGGTCACTCCTCTCTGGACAATTCTCTCCTCCACTCTGGGGAGCTTTCTCATGGCAGTGAGTAGCAACCAAATGCTATCACGCCATGGCTGGACGGCTTTTCGATCCCGTGCCCTCAGGGCTTGGTTCATCACGAAGTACAGAGAACTTTCCTTGGGAAACATCTCTATGGTGTAAAGTGTGAGCATCGCACGCTCATCCTCCGTCAAGTTGGGAAACTCCTCTTGGAGCTCTTCGGCTTTCCGTCGGGCCATGCGGACGGACACATCCAGGTCGCTGGAGACCATGGGACGGATCTGCTCCACAAGCTCGTCCAAAGGGCGTAGTTGAGCTTCTTTGAAGAGCGCACTCAAGGGCATTCGTGCTTCCCCATCCTCGCCGCAATCAGCAAAAACAAAAGTGGGATGCCTCTTCAGCCCAAAAAATACACCTGGGTCACACACACATACAGTAACATACACCCTAAGCTGGTCTGAGATATGACCGTCGTGATGAAACAATTAAAAAATGCTGGCCAAAGTCTTCCAAACTCGAAGTCAGCGTAGGATCAAGTTCTTGTCTGCACCTCCTTGTACCTCCCCAAAACTCTAGCCGACTCTAGCCAGCACAAAATCCTGCATGTACTCCTGCATGTTTATTTGCCTCAAACTCCCAAGAAGTGCTGCCTTTTTCCAAACCCTGCCGCTCCTCCTCCTCAGCTCCTGCGATCCTGGACAAAGATGCAGCAATTGCACTTGCCATGGCGCCCAATGGCAGGAGCAGCGGTTGGAGATCTGACACAGATTGTAAAATGTTGCTTTTTGTTCTACTGGCTGAAGATGACCACCTTGAAGCCATGGCCTTGAAGTCATGATACCACCTGTAAAATGCTTATTGTTGGGGTTGTGAAGAGGGGAAATCATCACCCGATTACCACTCAT